CAGCTGGGTGACCTTGAGCCAATCACCAGGAGAGGGTGAGTTCTAGTCCTGCCTTAGCCATGAAAGCCAGCTGGGTGACCTTGAGCCAATCACCAGGAGAGGGTGAGTTCTAGTCCCGCCCTAGCCATGAAAGCCAGCTGGGGGACTTTGGGCCAATCACCAGGAGGGGGTGAGTTCTAGTCCCGCCTTAGCCATGAAAACCAGCTGGGTGACCTTGGACCAGTCACATCCGCTCTGCCCAGCCCAAGACGCCTCACCCACGGGCTCAACACACACACACACACACACACACACACACACACACACACACACACACACCAGAAGGATAAAGGAAGAGGGGAAACCTTTGAGTCTCTGCTTCAACTCAGCCAGCTGCAGGGTGGAGCTGAATTTCTCCAGATCTTCGCTTCCGTCACAGTGCATGATGGAGAAGAGCTTCCAAAGCATGTCGCTGGAGAGCGTCCCGTAAGGCATCTCGGACATGAAGAGCCAGACGCCCAGTCTGTGGGGGATGGAAAGCCAGCCAGGAAGTATTTGTTTATTATAATAAACTCTTAAATGATTTTGGGGTTTTTTTTTAAAAAAAAAAACAACCCAAAAGCACAAGGTAACTGCTTGCTGAAAATTGCCCAACATAAATGGTTTCTTCCCACAGATGTCATCATCATCATCGTCATCATCGTCATCATCGTCATCATATCCACATCTGCCTATCCCAGGTCCTTGGGAAGGACTCGATAGGTAGACAAAATTGTCAAATCCAGTCTGAACATCTGGCTGACTGTGTGATGATTAATAATAATAATAATAATAATAATAATAATAATAATAATAATAAGAATAATAATATCCACATCTGCCTATCCCAGGTCTTTGGTAAGGACTCAATAGGTAAATAAAAATGTCAGATCCAGTCTGAACATCTGGCTGACTGTGCGATGATCAATAATAATAATAATAATAATAATAATAATAATAATAATAATAATAATAATAATAATATCCACATCTGCCTATCCCAGGTCCTTGGTAAGGACTCGATAGGTAGACAAAAATGTCAAATCCAGTCTGAACATCTGGCTGATAGTGTGATGATCAATAATAATAATGATGATGATGATGACGACAACAACAACAACAACAACAATAAAGTTGGAAGGGACCTTGAAGGTCATCTAGTCCAACCCCCTGCTCAGGCAGGAAACCCTATACCATTTCGGACAAATGGTTGTCCAGTCTCTTTTTAAAAACTTGTTGTTTCAGGTTGTTCCACTGATTAATTGTTCAAACTGTCAGGAAGTTTCTCCTTAGTTACAGGTTGCTTCTCTATTTGATCAGCTTCCATCTTTTGCTTCTTGTCCTGCCTTCCGGCGTTTTGGAGAATAGCTTGACCCCCCCCTTTCTTTGTGGCAACCCCTCAAACATTGGAACACTGCTATCCTGTCCCCCCTCGTCCTTCTCTTCATTAAACTGGACATTCCCAATTCCAGCAACCGTTCCTTATATGTTTTAGCCTCCAGTCCCCTGATCATCTTTGTTGCTCTTCTCTGCACTCTTTCTAGAGTCTCAACATCTTTTTTACATCGTGGTGACTAAAACTGGATGCCGTATTCCAAGGGTGGCCTTACCAAGGCCTTGTAGAGTGGTATTAACCCTTCATGTGGTCTTGATTCTATCCCTCTCTTGTAACATGCTGCCTGCCCCAGACTGGAACTAGCACTGTTCCAGCCAATAAGATTTCATTTTCCCAACCTTTTCGCTTTCAGGACATGGAGTACAGCCCTCAGGAAAAACTCATCAAATTCCACTTGCAACTTCTTCAAGGAATATGGCGGCATCGTGGGGCCGCTCTCCTTCGCACGGCTGACAAATTGGGCCCAGTGGTCACTCACGTGGCACAGCGTCATCCTGGAGGATCCGTTGGGAGACAGAGAAAAGAGAACGAGTGTTTTAATAAAAGAGAGCGTTTGTAGCCCAGGGTTGAACTCCGGGGTCCTTGGGGGTCTCTGAGGTTGGGGGGGGGAGTTTCTTGCACACATTTCATGACCCAACTAGGTAACATCATCAGTGCTAGAAGGGAGGGGGGTTGAGAGGAGGAGGAGGAGGAGGAGGAGGAGGAGGAGGATTATTATTGTTGGGGTCCTTGATGCTCTCTGAGCTTGGTGGTTTTCTTGCAGACGTTTCATTACCAGACTAGGTAACCTCATCAGTGTTAGAAAAGAATGGTGTTTATGGAGGAGGAGGAGGATTGTTGGGAAGGGGCCTTGAGGAAGAAGAGGAAAAAGAGGAGGAGGAGGAGGAGGAGGAGGACTGTGGGGTCCTTGATGCTCTCTGTGCTTGGTGGATTTCTTGTAGACGTTTCATGACCCAACTAGGGAACATCATCAGTGCTGGAAGGGAGCAGGGTTTGAAGAGAAGAGGAGAGAGGGGGAGGGGAGGGGAGGGAGAGGAGGGGGAGGAGGGGGAGGAGGAGGAAGGGGTGACAACGACTGTGGGGTCCTTGGTGCTCTTTGAGCTTGGCGGTTTTTCTTACAGACATTTGATGACCCAACTAGATAACGTCACCAGTGTGAGTCAATGTGGGGTTTGTTTATATACAATAGCTTATCCTGCCTTTTTTGGTGGGAGTGTGCCTGTCTACTTGAGATTAGACCCTAATCAAGGACCTAGAGAGTCTGTTCCGTCTAGTGGTTAAGGCGCCAGGCTGAAAAGCAGGAGACGGTGAGTTCTAGTCCCACCTTAGGCATGAAAGCTGACTGGGTGACTCTGAGCCAATCATCATGAGATGTTGAGTTCTACTCCCGCCTTAGACACGAAAGCTGACTGGGTGACTCTGAGCCAATCATCATGAGACGTTGAGTTTTAGTCCTGCCTTAGGCATTAAAGACAGCTGGGTGACATGGGCCAATCACCAGTCTTATTTTTGGGGAAACACAGTGGTCCTTCAAGTTTGTCTTATGTTTTCTTTTTAATTTATTTATTACTAATAAATTATTATTAATAATTATAATATTATTATTACAACCATATTAAAATAATTGGAATTATTATTATTATTAATAATAATAAATTCATCTAGGGGTTACATTTTGCTGTCCTAATCGCGCTCCTTTGCCCAGCTCTGAGCAAAAGTGGATGTGGACTCCTTACCGGATGAGATGGCCAATCCGCTTCACAAACTGCCTGTAACGGGCTCGGTTGAAGGTTTCCAGCCCCACCGCGAGAAGATTCACGACAGAATTCGCGAAGGCAAGCATTTTCATCATTGTTTGGGAAGTTGTCTTCTCGGGGACATAGCTGCCTGCTCAAAGGAAAGCATTTCAGAATGGAAAGAGCAGTCAGGGCAGGGTTTCAGCCAAGACAGGGAGAAGAGAGGAAGGTATATATATGTGTATGTGTCTTTTAAAATACTAAAAATGCGAATCCTGGGCATTATGTTAACCAAATAAAAGAAAAAACGAACACCAGGATATAATAAACCAGACCGTTTCATATAAACAAGCCTGTGGTTAAGAAGAGTCACTGAGCTTTCGTCCGGCCAAAACTGCCGGCGTCATCAGAGTTAGAAAGAGCACTTGAGGATCGTAAAACAACTAGTGGAGCCAAGGACAGTTTGCCTGATGAGGAACAACTCTGCGCGATACGGATTAATACAATCAACGGGCCGATGACGCGCTCAAGGAGCCGGGCGCAGAGGTAGGAGGCTGTATGAGCTGCCTTCCTGATCTCCTTTTGCTCCAACTCTGATGACGTCGGTAGTTTGGCCTGACGAAAGCTTAGTGACTCTCTTTTTAACCGCAGGCTTGTTTATATTAAACAGTCT